TCCAGCGGGCCAGTGTAGACAGCTGGCAAGTTTTTCCGCAAAAGCAGCTGCTTTTGCCGAAAAACTTTCCAGTCTAGACACAGCCAGAGAGGATAAGACGGGGAATATTTTATTGCCTCTCTCTTAATCCATGGGATGCCCACAGCCTGCAGATGTGGTCGCCTCATCTCAGAAAAGATACCTTGGCATTGGAAAAGGTTCCGAAAAGAGCAACAAGAACGAGGAGGGGTTTGGAACGGCTGCCATGTGAAGAGAGATTAAAAAGACTGGGACTTTTCAGCTTAGAAAAGAGGAGACTAAAGGGGGATACGATAGAGATCTGTAAAATCATGACAGGTATGAAGAAAGCGAATAAAGAAAACTTATGTTATGGGAACAAGTCAGAGGCTGCAGCGTGGGGTGCCAGGCGGGAGCTGGTCTGCGAGGTGAGCCAGTTAAAAACCAGCTCCCCTCACAGACCAGATGCCTGCTGCCCTGCACTGCTGCCTCTGATACAAGGGTGGCTGCAGGCTCTGTCCTGGGGGGCCAGAGTCTGAGCATCTGAACCAGGTGCAAGCCAGAACTGAGCCAGGCTTCCTGCCCGCTTACCTCCTAATAACACTTGAAATGCAGAGCTGCAGTGGGGGTAGGTCCCGGACCCATTGCAAGCTAGGCCTGAGCCAGGTTGCTGGCCAGCCTGCAAAAATATTACTGGCAGGGGAAGGAAATCCGTGTAGCCTACAGCATTAACCCATAAGTTTTTGCTTATCAGTTAATCAACTACACTATTCCATCCCTAGCTGCTATTTGAAGAGAGATTAATAAGACAGACTTTTCACCTTAGAAAAGATGACTAAGGGAGGATATGATGGAGGTCTATAACATCATGACTGGTGTGGGGCAAACGAATCAACGAGTTATTTACTCCTTCCCATAACACATGAACGGGGGTCACCCAATGAAATGAATAGGTAGGAGGTTTAAAACAAACCAAAGGAAGTTTTTCTTCACACGGCACACAGTCAACCTGGGGAACTCCTTGCCAGAGGATGTCTTGAAGGCCAAGACTATAAAAGGGTTAAAAAAAAAAGCTAGATAAATTCATGGCGGTTGGGTCCATCAATGGCTATTAGCTAGGATGGGTAGGAGTGGTGTTCCTAGCCTCTGTCAGAAGCTGGAAATGGGTGAGAAGGGATAAGTCACTTAACGATTCCCTGTTGTGTTCATTCCCTCTGAGGCACCTGGCATCGGCCACTGTCAGGAGACGGGATACTGGGCTAGATGGACCTTTGGTCTGGCAGTTAGGTTTTTATGACTCTCACAGAGTCCTCTGTAAAGGCTTTGGTCCAAGGTCTCCAATCTGAAGAGCATCACTTTGCTTACAATGTGCCATTCAAAAGTGTGGGCAGAGTTAGACGCTGCTCTGAACTCTGATAGATGTCACAATTACCTGCCATCGGCTGGATAAACCTTATAGAATTAATTTTGGGTGTTAGGAGAATTCGTTGTAATAACAATGTAAATGTTTGTGGGATTGTGTGGAACATGGGGAAGGGTGAGGCAGTTCTAGCAGGAACCGTGGGAAGTGTTCTCTGCTTCCGAGGACTCGTAAAAAAATGGGCTGACAAGATGAAACTTCTGATGATGCTTTCCTAAGGAAGACAAAGGAGGACAGGAATGCAACTTGTCCACCTCCAGCCCCATCCTTTTGAAGCCATGCCCAGCGGAGAAACGCGCGCTCTGCTGATCTTACCATGTCTCCTTACCTTGTCTGTCTCCTTACCATGTCTGCTCACTTGGAGTGTGTCTAAACTACATGGTTCCATCGATGGAGCCATGTAGATTAGGCTGATCGGCAGAAGGAAATGAAGCCACGATTTAAATAATCGCAGCTTCATTTAAATTTAAGGAGCAGAAAAAATCAGTGAGGCTACATCTAGACTGGCATGATTTTCCGGAAATGCTTTTCCGTTAAAAGTTTTCCGTTAAAAGCATTTTCGGAACAGAGCGTCTAGATTGGCATGGACGCTTTTCCGCAAAAGCACTTTTTGCAGAAAAGCGTCGGTGCCAATCTAGACGCGCTTTTCTGCAAAAAAGCCCCTATCGCCATTTTCGCGATTGGGGCTTTTTTGTGGAAAACAAATCTGAGCTGTCTACACTGGCCCTTTTGCGCAAAAGTTTAGCGCAAAAGGACTTTTGCCCAAACGGGAGCAGCATAGTAGTTTTGCCAAAACACTGACAATCTTACATGAGATCGTCAGTGCTTTTGCGGAAATTCAAGCGGCCAGTGTAGACAGCTGGCAAGTTTTTCCGGAAAAGCGGCTGATTTTCTGGAAAAATTGGCCAGTCTAGACACAGCCTGAGGGTATTACAGAAGGTATTACAGCTGTTTTTCTGACACAACCTGAGTTATGTCCACACTGCAATCGCGTTCTTCTGAAAGTAAATCAAAAGAACAGAAGGGTTTTTCCGGCATTGGTAATCCTCTTTCTACGAAGAAGAAGCCTTGTTCTGAAAGAGCTCTTTCGGAAAAAGGCATGTGGACAGGGAAGAGGGAGTTCTTTCAGAAGAAGAGGAAAGAGGAAAAACCAAAGGTGCCCTGGTGGCCGCTCCGTCCATAACAATCACAGCCTACATGTGAGAGAGCGTCCATTCAGTGTAGACGCTTTCTTCCTAAAAAGCAGATCGCTTTTTCGATGTGTTTTCAGAAGAAGTTTTTCTGGAAGATCTCTACCGAAAAAAAAGGTTCTTCCGAAAATAGCAGCAGTCTAGATATAGCCTGTGAGGCACGGGGGAAGGGTTCCCACGACCTTACTCGCTGCAACCAGCAGTTGGACCGGTTCATATCGGCCACCGAATTGTAGACACCTCTACGCATGGAGAAAGACAGCGGCTGCGACTCTCGTCTGACGATCGTAGGGCTGCTAACGGTGGAACTGCGTGCGATGTATAGAAATAAGTACATGTATATTCACACCCTTAATGTTAACTATCTGGAGTAGTGTCCAATGGGTCGGTGGTGTTATATTGTCTGTGCCAACTGTCCCATTTATTGCAATAGATCGATGTAATGTTGCGTTGCTTCTCTTTATTATTTTGTGCGTAATAAAGTTAGAGGCAGAACTTGTCCTTGGTGTCTACTGGCGCCTCACGTATCTTAGGGTATGTCTACACTACAAAGTTAGTTCGAACTAACGGACGTTAGTTCGAACTAACTTTAATAGGTGCTACACTAGCGCTCCGCTAGTTCGAATTTGAATCGAACTAGCGGAGCGCTTAGTTCGAACTAGGTAAACCTCATTTTACGAGGACTAACGCCTAGTTCGAACTAGCTAGTTCGAACTAAGGGCTGTGTAGCCCTTTAGTTCGAACTAGGGGGAGGCTAAGGCTTCCCAGGTTTCCCTGGTGGCCACTCTGGCCAACACCAGGGAAACTCTATGCCCCCCTCCCGGCCCCGGACCCCTTAAAGGGGCACGGGCTGGCTACGGTGCCCGTGCCAGGTGCAAGCCTGCCAGCACCCAGCTAGCAGACCCTGCACCTGGCACGGCACAGAGCCACCCACCCGATGCAGTGGGCACCTTCCTGGGCTAGTGCAGACATAATGGACCTTGTCCACGATCTCTGCACTAGGCACAGGAAAGTGGCCGTCTAGGGCAGGAGAGCTGCCAGCCTGGCCACCCAGGACCAGGTGTGCATGAAAATCAAGGGGGTCCACTGAGACCCCCGACACTGAGCCCTGAGCTTACAATGGCCGTACTGGGTCAGACCAAAGGTCCATCTAGCCCAGTAGCCTGTCTGCCGACAGCGGCCAACCCTAGGGACCCTGGAGGGGATGGACCGAAGACAGTGATCAAGCCATTTGTCTCGTGCCATCCCTCTCCAGCCTTCCACAAACTTTGGGCAGGGACACCACTCCTACCCTCTGGCTAATAGGACTCCATGGACCCAACCTCCATGACTTGATCTCACTTCCCTTTAAACTCTGTTCTAGTTGTAGCCTTCACAGCCTCCTGCAGCAAGGAGTTCCACAGGTTAACTATTTGCTTTGGGAAGAAGAACAACTTTCTCTTACTAGTTTCAAGCCTGCTACCCATTCCTTTCCTTTGGTGTCCTCTAGTCCTTCTTTATGGGAACTCAGGAAGAACTTTTCTGAATGCACCCTCTCCACCCAACCCCTGCTTTTAGAGACCTCTATCCTGTCCCCCCTCCGTCTCCTCTTTTCTAAGCTGAACAGTCCCAGTCTCTGTAGCCTCTCTTCATCTGGGACCTGTTCCCAACCCCTGATCATGTTAGTTGCCCTCCCCTCTCCCAGCCTTTCTCTTCCCCTCTCCCACCTCCTTTTCCCAGTCTCCCCCAGTTTTTTTCAATAAAGACAGAGTCAATGT